CTCCAAAACAATACAGAGAAACCCTGTCTCGAAAAAAAAAAAAAAAAGGTAACATTAGAAATACATGCAGGTTATTACAGGAGAATGGTTTTTAAAAGGAGAGGGATAAAGAAAACAATGTTTAGCTGGACTGTGGGAGGCAAAGGCAGATAGAGCTCTATGAGTTTGAGGCCAGGGTGGTCTACAAAGCGAGTTCCAGGACAGCCAGAGCTGTTACACAGAGAAACCTGCCTCAATGACCCAAGGAAAAGAGAAAAGTAAAAGTAAAACACCATGTTTGTTTTACCTCATCAAGATCTTTTGTCTCTCTTCCCAATTCATCGTCATCTTCATCAGAATCAAGCTCTGGTCCAATATAATTCCCAAATTCATCATACAAGTCAGTATCCATGATGCTAAAATTCAAGAGAGAAGAGTCAGGGTCTGAAGTCCTGAGAGCATCCCACCCTGACCCCTACATACCATGCCGTCAGCAGCTGACCTGTGACTAACCAACCTGCTCAAGAATCTCCCCAGAGCCCAGTACTTTCTCCACTCTCTGTCCTATTCATTGTATCTATTTACACACCCCACCCTCTTCACTTTATTTACTTAGCGACAGGGCCTTTTGTTGCCCAAACTGGCCTCAAATCCCATATAGCCCACATTGGTCTTGAACTCCTGATCTTACTGCCTTAGCCTCTAAGTGCTGGGATAACAAACTTATGCCCTATGCCTGGTTTTGTTTTATTTATTTAAAATTTTTTATTTATTTTCATTTTCTGTGTATAGGTATTTGCCTGCATGTATGTTTGTGTACCATGTTCCTAGACATGAAGCCCACAGAAACCAGAAGAGGGAGTCAGATCCCCGGAAATTGAAATTATAGGCTGGGTGTAAGCTAACATGTGGATAGTGAGAATGGACCCTGGGTTCTTTGAAAGGGCAGCCAGTGCTCTTAACCATCGAGCCATCTCTCCTTTCCCACCTGGCTTTCTTTTTAATTTTAAAGACAGCCAGGCTCTCACTGTTACCCAAGTTGGTCTTAAACTCTAAATCCTTCTGCCTCTGTCTTCTAAACTGACATTAACAGGTATACAACTCATGGCCAGTCCACCACCCCGTCTAAATTTATTAAGTTTATGTGTTTGTGCATGTCTGTGTGTATCTATGCATGAGTTTATGCACATGTATCAAAGACAGCATCCGATCCTTTGGGGAACACTAGCATTGTCACATAGGTACCAGCATCTGACCTCTAGTCTTCCTGACTGCCTAGCAAGTGCCCTTAACTGCTGAGTCTTTCTCCACCCTCTCACTTCCTTTTTTAATGCTAACATTCTCAAAATATCGCAATACAGCCATCAGAATCAGGAAATTAATTCTGGCAGGTTATTCTACCTAATACACAGGCCCCATCGAGTTTGACAAACTGTTTCAAAAATGAACTGCCAGCCAAGGATGCAAACCAGGATCATATATGCTCACACCGAGGCAGCTTTACAACAGTTTTTTAGTCTTGGGTTTTTACGTCCTGACGCTTTTGGAGATTACAAATCCATGATTTTGTACAATGTCCCTTCATGTGCTTTTGCCTGCCTGTTACACTCAGATTACCCATCCAGAACAAGGATATCACGCAGGGATGCTGTGCTCTTTTGGGTACATAATTTCAACTTGTTCTTATTGGTGCTAACTTTGATCCCTCAATTAAGGTGGCAGCTGGCAGGTTTTTCATTATAAAATCACTCATTTTCCCTTATAATGAGTAAGAACTGTGTTTTTTTCCTCACTTCAAATATTGAAATGCTGTTCAAAAGAACTGTTTAAATCTTACCGCTTCCCAGTTTTCCTAGACCTCCAATGTCTCATTGCTCCTTGACACGATAACTTGCACTTTCATCAGTATTTTCTATCCCAAATGCTATTTGGCTATTATTCCCACCAACAACTCTACAGCTTGCAAGCAGCAAAAACTAATGTATGGAAAAGCACTAGGCCTCAGGGGTTAAAGATCTTAACTCATCCCTTAACCTCATCTCTAACAACGAAGAGGTTACTTAGAAGTTACTTCACCTCTCTATGTATTAGTTTAAGTAAAAAAAATGGAGTGAATAATCATGGCATAAAACCTCTTAAAGGCACCAAGAAGATGGTTCAGTGGGTAAAAGCACTTGCTATGCAACCTGAGTTCAACCCTGAAAACCCAGGAAAAAGCCAGATGCATTTGCACAAGTGTCCATAATCCTAGAAGGCCAGTGGGAAATGGAAAGCAGAAGGATTCTCTTGCAGCTCAAGAGTCAGCTAGCCTGGTGCTGGCAGTGACAGGAGATCGTATCTCAAAACAGGTCAAAAGATGAGGACCAAATCCTGAAGGCTGGCCTCTGACTTCCGCCTGCATGCTACAACACGTTTGCACCCTCACTCTACACACACACACACACACACACACACACACACACAGTATGATTAGCTGGGCATGGAGTCTTACCCCTGTAACCCTACATAGGGAGCTAGAGGCCACCCTGAGATGTGAGAGACCCTGTCTCAAAAAACAACAGCAAGCCGGGCGTTGGTGGTGCATGCCTTTAATCCCAGCACTCGGGAGACAGAGGCAGGTGGATCTCTGTGAGTTCAAGGGCAGCCTGGTCTACAGAGCGAGTTCCAGGACAGCCTCCAAAATACAGAGAAATCCTGCCTCGAAAAAACAAAAACAAACAAAAAACAAAACAAAAGAAACCAAACAAACCAACAGCAACAACTGCTGGGTGGTGATGGTGGCGCACAACTTTAATCCCAGCACTTGGGAGGCAAAAGCAGGTGGATCTCTGAATTCAAGGCCAACCTGGTCTACACAGCAAGTTCCAGGATGACCAGGGCTACACAAAGAAACCCTGTCTTGAAAACACAAACCAAACCAAACCAAACAATCAATGTGGGTCAGCATAAAATGTGACCAACCCTGAGTATGAGAATCCCTGAGCTCCTTTGTGCTCACCTGCCAGAAACCCCAGACAGCACTCTGCAAAAACAATTACAATGTTAACTGAATGGAATGTTTAGGTTTGAAATTCTGGTATTTTTTGTAGTAGACCGAATACCTCAAGGAGAGATACAAAGAGTGCTAATCACTGGCAATTAAATGTAACTCATTATGAAAACTGATTATATGTGTTGTTCTTATTTCTAAGAAGTTACCACACTTATGTTCATTTCATTCTCCCAAGACTCTCATTGCCGGGCGTTGGTGGCGCACGCCTTTAATCCCAGCACTCGGGAGGCAGAGGCAGGCGGATCTCTGTGAGTTCCAGGCCAGCCTGGTCTACAGAGCGAGTTCCAGGACAGTCTCCAAAGCCACAGAGAAACCCTGTCTCGAAATAACCAAAAAAAAAAAAAAAAAAAAAAAGACTCTCATCAAGTGATGGCACAAACTTTTACAGAAAGTTGCTTACTGAATAAGCCAGGCTCATTTCTGCCCCAGAATCATGATACTTGTCACTCTGGCTATTTATATATTGTTAACTCATTTAACTCAAATTTCTCCTTTAATATCACCTATTTGTCACTCTAAACATTCCCCATATATACACCTGCCAAGCCCCCCTTACACTGATTTGTGTGCTAAGGTGCTTAGGATCAAATCCTGGGCCTCACACTCTTCCAAAACTCAACCACTTACTCCTCAGCCAAAGCCTTGCTTGAACAATACTTGGGGAACAGTTGTGTACATTTGCTACTGATAAACGTTAATAAAAAAATCGAAGCAAGCCGGGCGTTGGTGGCGCACGCCTTTAATCCCAGCACTCGGGAGGCAGAGGCAGGCGGATCTCTGTGAGTTCGAGGCCAGCCTGGTCTACAGAGCGAGTTCCAGGACAGCTTCCAAAGCCACAGAGAAACCCTGTCTCGAAAAACCAAAAAAAAAAAAAAAAAAAAATCGAAGCAAAAAAAAAAATAACGCATAGCACAAAATAGACCATCAATAGGCCCTCAACAAGTTTTGTTGGTTTTTTTTGGGGGGGTGAATTAATGACATGTTTAGTTAAGCAAAGCTAGTTTCTAAATACTAAACATGCATCTTCCCGCTACAACGCAGATTCTGAAAGGAATGCTGAATCTTTTCTGTCAACGGTTTAGCCTAGGCTGGCCTTGAACCTGCAGCAATCTTCCTGCCTCGATCTCCAGAGCGGAAGAAATACGCACTAGCCATCACAGTCAGCTCGGATGCCGAAAATTTAGAAGATCGAGAAAGCTTGGAGGTGAAGGAGGCACCGAGGGAAGGGGGAGTGGCAGGGGTCTGGGTCGTTAGAGCGCCACCTCTACCTAGGGACAGGATTTTAACCATGCAGGGCATCGAGGAAACCCCGGAATCACCGGTGTGTGCGTGTGTTGGAGGCGGGAGGGTGGCTTTCACTTCCTTTCCTACTCCAGACTTCAATTTACCCGTGTGAAGCGAAAAGAGATATAAATATTATACAAATCGCCTCTTCCCAAGCTCCTGTTCTCCCGTGTCTCAACCTCCCAGAGAACCCTTCCCGGGCCAACTCACCCGCCGCCTGCTCAACCGAGCACTCCTGGTCCGCAGCCTGAGCCCGCGCTTCCGCAGCACGCCACGACAACGCCGGCGCCAGTCGCCAGGAAGGACCCCAAGCGCGTCGCCCGCCCGCTTCGTCTCGGTGGACACCCTCTGCCTGAAGAACAGCTTCGAGGAATGCGGGCCTCGGCGACAGAAACGGGAAAGACCAACTTGTCGGTCCTCAAAACAAAGCGTGAATTGCTCCAAAGAAAAGCAAGGCCGGAGGACTCACGCATCTGATCAGGCGCCTTGGGACACCCTGAAAGGGAGGGCCTTCGGGCGGGCCACGTGGGCAGGCTAGTGGAGCCGTTGCTAGGCGACTACCGCTGTTGGGAGGGCGAGTCACAGGCGTTCAAACAGATCAGAGATTTTTCCCCCCCAAGAAAGCAAGGAGTCCAAGACTGGGTCTGCTAGGTGAGGGTCTAGGGCAGACTAAAGGGAGTTGTTCTAGTCATTCGATGACTGGGAAAGCTTAGAACTTGTCACGGAGGTGGAAGTCTCACCTGCTCCCGAGGCAGAGCCTTGGAGGAAAGATCATGAGCTCAGATGTTCTGGAGAAAGCAACCTGGATCACATAGCGAGACACCTCTCACCAACACACCCCGCCTGCAAAAAAAAAAAAAAAGGATACGATCCGAGACACTTGAGTCCAGTTGCTGGCTTGCTAACACTGCCCAATTGGTATTCCACTTTCCCTCGTTGGAGTCGGGGATGGTTGTGGAGTTGCTTGTGGATCAGCACATTTCCTGCCCTAGGGCTGATCATGAGTGAATTACGATTTGTAGCTCCGGCTCACCAGGATTGTGAGGTAGAGAGGGTTCTTATAGATTGCAGTGAAAACAGCCTGTCAGATCATACCGGGAGGCTTAGAACTTGAGTGGTGGCCACACACCACACAACCTGTGCCTGTAGCCCTCCAGTTGGTCAGGGATTTGGGGAATGTAGATCGTTCAGCTCCCCCCTCGAGAGGTGGGGGGATGGAAGCCACTGAGCTTTTTCCTTCTGCCACTTTCCCTCGACTCACTCCCTGCTTGGTCATTGACTTTGGTTTAGGTGAAAATATTTTTTCCTCCATTTAAAATAGCTAGCGAAGTGTGAAAATTTGTCCTTGAGCTCAGGACTAATAAGAGTTCTGGGGTGTGTGTGTGTATATACACACGCTCCTCTGTGGCAACACATGCCATAGAGAAATCCTATATGAAAGAATGAAATTTCAGAATTCTGAGATCCCAGTGCTTTCTCAGCTGAAATGCCCAGATTTCTTGCTTTGTGATCACGCTGGACATCAAACCCAAGGTTTTGCACTCGCTAGGCAAACTTCTACCACTGCTGTGCTAGCCCTTAGCATCTAAAATAGTGTTAGAAGCAGAGAACAAAATTAAGACTTCAAACTGGAAGCTTTCTGCTCTGATTTCTGTGAGAAGCCTTGAGTATGCCTTCACCATGCAATTCTATCTGATCTTTAAAGGAGGAAACTAGACTTCTGTAGCATTCCAGGACGCATATTGGATTGCTCTGGGTTGTTTCACATTCTGGCAAAGAATCCCAAGGCATCATCTTTACACCCTGATACCAAACCCTCTGCTGATATGCATTCTTCTTGCCTCCCCAGGCCTTGCCATGGAAAAGAATGATGCAATCAACTTCAAGGCTTTGGAGAAAGAGCTGCAGGCTGCACTTGCTGCTGATGAGAAGTACAAAAGGGAGAATGCTGCCAAGCTACGGGCAGTTGAACAAAGAGTGCCTTCCTATGAGGAGTTCAGGTTGGCTTGCAGCTGTTTTCAACAGGCCCTTCTCTCCTGGTGGCCTACAGAAGTTAAAAGCAAGCAGTCTAGATTCAGATCATTCTGGGCTTCTGTCCTGCCCCCACCCTCTGTTACTACATCTTACCCAGGCTCCTTGACCTATCTGAGACTCAGCTCTGTCTGTAAAAGAGAGAAATGGCTGCCACAGTTGTTTGAGTTACTGCATGTAAGACTCTGAGCACAGTGTCTAGCCCATTTGAAGTGCATGAGTACTTTTAGATATCTATGCTGCTGCTGCTGTTGTAGTAGTTGCCCTACTTCCTGTAAATAAGCCTAGCCAAATAGTTGCCCCACACTTAGAGAAACATTAGGTTTCAATCTCTATCTCTGACCCAGAGGTATTGTCCTGGCATCACACCTGAAACCTCTGGAACGGAAGGACAAGATGGGAGGAAAAAGAATTGTGCCCTGGAACAGTCACACTACTAGGGAAAGGACTTTTGAGGATGTGGCCACGGAAATACCCCAGGTAGGTGCCGGCCAGCCTCTTTGCTCCCGGAGGATTTCTCTGTGCTAAAGCTATGACCCTGTCTTTTTACAACACATACCACTTCCTTATGTCTCAGGGAAGCCAACAGAAAGATTTTTTTCCTAATCCCAGAACAGCAATTAGATGGTGGGACTAAGTTGAACTGAGCTCAGCAGTCCTCTGACATTCCTTCTCAGGTCGGTGGTAAACAAACAGTATTGTAAGCCTGTGGTGGTATAGGGTAGGGGGTACCCAGCCTGTCAGACCTTCAGCACTTACTTTGAGTTTCCTCTTCTCTGCCACAGATTTACCGTAAACTCCCCCACTTTTTTCAGAGCAAGCTCTGGTTTGCTCTAAAAGGCCAAGAGCTATGTTTCCTTTCCCAGGAGGAAAACCCCAGTACAAAGGAGACCTTCAAATCATAGCCTGGATTCCTTGGGCCCACCACCTCCTGCCTCCCCAGCTCCCTCATCTGAAAATGAGGCCGCAGAGGCCAGCCTTCCTAGAGCTCAGAGAGCAATTGCAGCACTAAGATGAAAACTCATTCCCTCCCTCCCCATGCCAATTGCAGAGTGGCAAGATGAGCTCTGCACCTGTTCCCTTTTGTTATGCAGGAGAAATCACCCTTCCAGCCTGCGACCTCTGCAGAGTTTTACCGTGATTGGCGGAGACACTTAAGAAGTGGGTCAGAGCGCTACCAAGCCCTGCTTCAACTTGGGGGTCCTAAGCTGGGCCACCTCTTCCAGATGGATGTGGGCTTTGGACTTCTTGGGGAGCTGCTGGTGGCACTAGCTGAGCATGTGAGGCTAAGTGACCGGGAGGCAGTGCTAGAGATTCTGCACAGCTTGGCTAACACTGGGCGATTCCCCTTGAACCTGAGCCTGCTGAGCCATGCGGAGAGAGAGAGCTGCCGGCTCTTGTTTCAGAAGTTGCAGGCCATGGACACCACCAGACCCATGCAGGAGGAGCCATTTTCTGGGCTACAGGGAGAGGAGGGGCTCCTACAAGTGCTGCTAGGTCTGTATGGGATCCACTGTTAGGATTGGCTGCCCTCAGCATTCCCAAGCGGTCTCAGAAAACATTTTTTTTTAAAAGACTTGCTTTATGTGTATAAGTGTTTTGCCTACATGTATGTATGCCCAGTGCCTGAGGAGGCCAGAGAGGGTGTTGGAGTCTCTGGAAGTGTAGCTACAGATGGTTGTAAGCTGCAATAATAGTGCTGGAATCAACCCAACCCCAGGCCTCTGGAAGAGCAACCAGTTTTCTTAACCACTGAGCCATCCCGCCAGCCCCCTTGGAACGCATTTTGTGGTGCTTATCTTGGGGATTCTGCAGAAGTGTTGAAAGAACTATTGTGAGAAACCCACACCCACTTCCCTTTTCATAGTGGGCTTGCCCACTTCTCCAACCCATAACTTCATCTATGTGGATTCCCCAGGATAGCCCAGCTGGTTCAGAGTGCTTTGCTACCTGCCTTTCCGTTTGCCACGGCCCTGGCCTTGAGAGGTGGGTGTGTTTACAACTAAATTCTGACCACACAGAGCTTCCTCCTGTGTGTGGGGGGGGGAGGCAAAATCACTGACCTCTAGCAAAAGACAAGCACTGATCACAACTCTTAGCCAGAATATTTATAACCCAAAGCCAGTGAATGAACAGCCAATCAGTAATAAGGGAAGGTCCTTGGTTTGAGATGCAGAATGCTCCCCCAGAGACCCAGTTCTTTCACAGGTTAAGCCTGGGAAATCCCCAGTCCATTGGCTCAGGTCTGGCCAGCATCCGGGATGACCAGCTGTGCAAGAGAGGTTGCTGTTATCTCTCAGATTGATGAAAGGATATTCTGGGCAGGCAGCGCCGATGGTACTTACAGCTCATTCTCATGTCCCCTGACCCATTCTTAGCTGAGTGCCAGTGTTCTAGAAAGGTGAGAGAGTGCTAGGTTCTAGAATGACCCCACCCCACCCCACCCCCGAGATGGGTCCTGGTGTGCTAGGACAGCGTCTTGTACATCAGCTGGGAATAAACCGCCTTGCACCTGGCGACTCCTCTGCAGTTTCTGGCTTCTTTTACTGGTTGTTTGACCCTTTCTTTTTGTAGCAGCCTCCTCTCAGCATGATTTCTAAAAAGCCTTTGGTGCCTTGAGTTTGGCCCTGTCCCCTTAAGATCCTCCTTCCTACAAGCATGAGTCTGGCCCAAACCACTGTGCTCCTGTGGGCCTGGGGCAGTCTCCAGGCCTTTGAAATCGTGGAGAAGGAGAACATTTTTCAGAAGACGCCCTGCCCAGCTTTCCTGATGTTTGATAATGCTGCCTATCTGGCTGACATGAGCTTTGAACTTCCCTGCCACTGCAAACCTGAGGATGTTCCAGCTGTGGTCTGGTATTACCAAAAGCACTTGGGAAGCAGCCACACTGTAGTGCTTACAGACTTTGATGGGCGGGTGCTCACTGAGGCAGCTCACGTTCGAGTGGGCAGCAGCATGCTGGTCCGTTTCAGCATCCGCATGTTCAGTCTGCTGGTTTTCCGGGCCCAGCCAGAGGACTCAGGCCTATATTTTTGTGGCACCCGTAAGGGGGACTATTTTTATGCCTATGATGTGGACATCCAAAGCAATGAGGGAATGGTAGCCACCTTCAGGGACAGGGGCCAGGAGCCATTGCCAGATGAATACTATGGTAACCTCCACGTCTTTACTACCTTCTGGGAGTGGACCCCCTGTGACCGCTGTGGGGTGCATGGGGAACAGTGGCGCCTTGGACTCTGCTACCTGCAGAACGCTGACCTCTCCCCCCGGTACCTTAAGACACTGCCCAACGTAGTGTCCTGTGGCTCTCGGGCTGTGCCAAGGAAACTGTGGCTCAAGACCAGGTACCACACACCTGAGCTGCTGATTCAGAGCTGCCTAGTGTCCTGTGAGAAGAGGCATCAGATCCGGAAGGGTGTGCTCACAATCTACAACTATGTGTCCAAAGTGGGCAGCCGGCCCTGGCTGCCTCAGGTGCCCATTCAATTCCATCAGCAAAGACTAGGCCATGGCCTCATCATCTCCTGTCCCGGGGCCCGGCCAGAGCATGCTGTGGCCTGGGACAAAGACCGTCAGCCCCTCTACCGCACACAATACCTAAAAGGCGTCAACAGATCCATGAGAGTGTTCATCGACCACGGCAACCATCTCCACATCCGCTTTACCCAGTTGAGTGATCGGGGCATCTATTACTGCTGGCGGCAAGGCTTGAGAATCGCTGGCTTCCGGTTGGGAGTAACATCTCGAGGACGCTACCCAGCCTCACTCTCAGACCCCGAGACTCGCACTGCTGTGGAACTCACCCTGCTAGGCTATCTGCTCATCACAGCAATCTTTGTCACCATCCACCTCTGTCGGTGCTGTTGCTACTCATTTCGCTGTTGTCCCAACTTCTCCACCCATACCCTTCTCCAGCTGTGAAAACTAGTTGTGTTTTAATATGTTTGTTAAATGATACCAGATGCTTCTGGATGGGCATCCTGGGCTGGGACACATGACAAGGTGACATACAAGTCTTTTATTTACAACTTGCTCCCCAGTTTCATGGGAGGGGCCTGAGTCTAATCTGGAAAGTGGGGAAGCCTGAGGGAGGTCTGAGGTCAGAGACTTAAGCCAGGAGGGGAATGGACAGGTACAGGCGTCTTCTCGCTTGACACTCGGGTTGCAGGAGGAAGTGAACTGGTACCCATCGGGTCATCTATCAGTGTTGCTGACACTGAGGGTCCTTTTCCCTTGAGGACTACTGGATGGGAGGGGATGGAGAAGGAGAAAGAAAAGTGGAGGGCACAGCTATGTCTTCCTCTGCTCCCAGTTGTTCTGGGAATAGCCGAACAGCAGGTGTGAAGATGAAGGTTAAGATGGGGGCCGGAAATGGGTGAGGCAAATGGAGATCCAACACAGGACTTTCTTGAATGGTGGTACCCAGGCTAGGTCTGGACCAAAGGCCGCAGCACCAGCGCCCTGTAGGAGGCGGGATCTGACGGCGCTGCTGCAGTTGAGTTGGGATCTCAAGACAATCTGTAATAATGAGTCAGGATCTCAAGACTATCTGTAATAATGAGCAAGTTGACTCCAGCCTTGGTCTTCACCCCAGCTTCTGAACAAATCAGACCCACTCTGTGGAAGGCTATGACACACGTCTTTATTTCTTCTTAGTGAATAAAGGTGACAGCAGAGGGTAGCAGAGGCAGCAAGGAGTGGAAGGAGAGGGTACAATGTCCTAGGAGGAGGAGGGGCCCATTTTCCTGTTTTGACCTTAGAGGGGAGGAAAGGACAATGGAGTGGAACTTTCAGCCCCATTGCCGGGCACAATTCCCCACCAACCAGTCCAAGAGCGGGTGCTCCGGTGTGGAAGTGTAGTCCCAAGTTGCCTCTAAGCAGCTGGGACACAAACCAGTCTACCAGGCTCCTGCCTCAATTTCCCAAGTTGTCAAATAGGATGATGGCTAAAATATAGGTAACATGCATAAAAAAGGACACAGGCCCCTTGCTTGGAGAACAACAGCTAGTAATTATGGGATGGAGAGCCTCAAAAGGATGGTTGTGATTTCACCAGGGTTACAAAGTAGCAGTGGGGGGGGGCAGAGAACTGAGTGGATGGGGACTATGCAGCCAGGAATAGACCTTGACACCTGAGACACAGCTGTACCCTGCCCAGTGGACAGAAGTCTCTCTCTCCTGTTTCAGTGTCTTCAGGAGAATGAGTCATCTCCTTGATTCCCAGGACTCAGAGCCAAGTGTAACTGGTTGCCTACAACTTCCAACTCCAATGCCCGGATCATCTGCTGGTGCTCCTCCAGCCGAGTAGGGGAGCCTTCTTGGGCTTGACCTCTCTGCATCCATACTTAGGGGCCAGGCACCTCACCTCTACTGTCTCGCAGTACTATTTCCTTCTCCACTTATGCTATAGATCCCCCCAAGTGCTGAGAACCAAGTTCCCACATGCTCACAGGCTGCTGACCTGAGCGGCAACTCAATAGGGCTGAGACACAAGTCATCACTCTGAAGGGGCCTTAGGCCTGCCTCAGTGGCCATTCCAGGTAGCAGGTCTGCCCCACCCACTCCTGGATCAGTCAGGGCTATTCTGGAAGCATAAGTCTCTGGCTAGAGCTGCTTTGCCTTGGGACCTCCCCTTTCTGTTGGACTTCCTGTCTTCCTCCAGCAGCCAGTGGAAACTCAAAGTCCAATTCGCAGAGACCACCAGCTCTGGCAACAGTTTCCATAACAACAAGGATGAAGGAAATGATTTGTTAAGGCTCCCTGCTCTGCCCAACTTTCCTCTTTCCTTCCAATTCTAATCAGCTGCTGGCCCCTCCCCTCCTGACTGCCCCTTTGGGGTGAGTATCCTGTTAGTTGAAGGCGCAAGGGTATGTACCATCTGTCAGGCTCAGGAAGGACTGAGCCCCGGCAGACAGGCATAAAAACAGAGGGAAGGGGATGCAGATGTGGAAGGGAACAGGACTGTCTGAGGAGGAGCTCTGGGCCCCTCACACTGTATGGCAGGGGCCACCAGGTGGGCACACCTCACATCACATCCTTGTGCTCCTGCTTGGACTCCTTAATGACCTGCAGGGGACACGGGAGGTGCACAGTGCAGTTAGGAGGCTGACACAGCTCCCCGACCCACCGTGCTAGGCTGTGCATCCTGAGGCAAGCCCCCAACTGTCCTGGCTCTGTCTTCCCTTGACTGCCATTGTAATTGCATCCTGCTGAGGTCTGATCGGGGTGTGAAATGCCACTTATAAAGCACCTAACCCCATGCCTGACACTATGGTATACAGTAACTATCTCTGCTGCCACCCCAACATGTGGAAAAGGCCATGCATGCTGTATCTATCTCCTATTCCCATTCCTCTCTAGAAAGTTCCTTTGAGTCAGATTTGAAGGCCTTTTCTTCCCCTAACTGTCCCAGTCAGAGATGAGCCATCAGGTGGCCTTGGTACCCAGGTTGCCCTTAACACACTACCCAAGGACGGGTTGGGAAAGGAGAATTGCATTCAAGGTCAGTCCCTTCTTCCAAAGTTCCATTGGGAGCCCCGGTAGTTAGTTAAGAGGGACCTTCAGTAAGCTAGTCAGGCTTTCTGCAGTCTCGCTTCAAGAACTCCTGGGGGCAACCAGAGCCTTTCCTCACCTCACCATCCCTCATCTCCACTGTCTTTACCACGATGTTCCTCTTGAGGTGTCCTTCTGACACGGACTTGGTGTCCAGGCTGGTTTCTGCAGGTGTGAGGAGAAGAGGCCTCCGTGGGCTCTTGGGACACTAAACAGCCTGTCCTGTACCCAACTTCCCCATCATGCACCCAGAGCCATGAATACAGGGCTGTCTAACTAGGCAGAGAGCCTTGGTTTGTCCAAAGTGACTGGAGACTCCCCACTGCCCCCAGCACGGATACATCTTCCTGATGTCCTGTAGCCCACTCTGCCTTCTGTTCTGGCACTTGGCTTCCTGACAACCAATGGCTGCACCAAGATAGAAGCCTCAGTTTCCTCTCTTACAAAAAGTGCTCACAGCGACTACTTCCCTAGGAGATGGTGATGGGGCAACCAACATACGTTAACATGTGGCACAAATTAGTGATTGATACATGTGGGACCCTTCCCCATTCCTACCTTTTTCTGTCACTTATCTGGACTCTAGTGACCCTTGACTGTCTAGCATTTGACACTATTACCTCTACCTGGTCAGCATAATTAACTTTCTAATGCTGAATTACATCTTGAAATATGTATGGCCAATATTCCTACATGGAATTTCCCCCTGTATCTAAGAATCACTTAAGGGCCACATACCAGTAAAAAGTAATTTGGTCCACCCCCCTTAGAGAGGAAAATAGAACACGTCATGCTCACTAATATTTAAAATGAAGAGCAGGGGACATAAAACTCTATTCACTACAAAAGCAGTCGTCCAGAGGGAGCTAATCCTCTGGGCTGAGTCAGCATTGAGTGAAGCCCCAGAGCCTTGGGGACCCATGAATCAAACACAGAGCCTGCCCAGAGGCACTGCAAGACCCAAGGGGACCACCTAGCGACAGAAAAGAGGCGAGGCAGAGGCTGGCATTTGCTCAGCAAGAACATTTGCTCCCAGGGATAAGTCCCCTTTAACATAGGCTAGTTCTGTCACTATAACCTAATTACACAGAGCCAGGACCTGCACTGGGGACTGAAGCTTCTGGGAAAAGGTCCTTTAGAGGAGACCTGGGAGGGAAGAGGCCAAGAGGACCGGGGAAATAGGCTTGGTGATGCTCACTCCCGGTCAAGCTGGGGAATGCACGACTGAAAAGCAGGCTTCTATCTAACAGAGAGTAGGCGGGGCTCCGTTTACAATCTGGTGAGCCCGTATGGGTATAACTTGTACTGTGAGCCTTTTGAGATGCCTTGTGACTCTGTGGCCTTCCCCTTCTTTGGTGCTTTTGCCCCCTGTAGTGACAAGCAATTCAAAACAAAACAAAACGTAAAACATTGAGAAGGGCAGAGCTTGTTCATGGCTAGCAGACCTGGCATCAGTCGAGACCTCACTGGTTCTTCAGGGGTACAGCTAGGGAGTGGGGACACAGGGCAGAGTGAGCCGGGGACAGTCACAAGCCCTAGGATGCTGTGCTTTGCCTAGGATCAGTGGAAGGTCATAAAGGCTCCCAAGGAGAACTTGGATCCACAGGCCTGGGGGAGGAGGTGGGAATTTAATACCCTTTCCCGCAAGGCCCCACTGTACTGACCTCGGATTTGCAGGTTGGAGAAAGTTTGTACAGGGATGGTGATGCTGAAAGACAGTGAGGGATGGGAATGATGAGGCCACCCTAGGACATCCCCAAGTCACAGCATGAAAATCTCAAGGTCCTTTGCCAGGACAGCCTGATTCCATTCCTCTCTCTCTCTCTCTCTCTCTCTCTCTCTCTCTCCTCCTCCTCCTCCTCCTCCTCCTTCTCCTCTCCTCCTCTCCCCTCCCCCTTCCTCTCTTCTCCTCTCCTCCTCTCCTCTCCTCTCCTCTCCTCTCCTGCTCTTCCTCTCTCCCCAGCTCTTTCAGACAAACATCTCCCTATGCAGTGTTGGCTGGTCTCAAACTCATAGAGCTCTGCCTGCCTCTTCCTCTCAGGAGCTGGGATTAAAGCCATGAGCTACCATTTGGTGTGTGTGTGTGTGTGTGTGTGTGTGTGTGTGTGTGTATGACAGAAGAGGGTGTTGGATCCCCTGGAACTGGAGCATTACTACAGGACATTGCAAGCTGTCATGTGGATACCGGGAAGCTAACCCTAACTAGACAGCAAGCTCTCCACCCTCCACCACCTAACTTTCAACCCCAAAGCCAATACTGTCCTGGAGCTGGAAAAGTCTGCAAGGAGATTGTGTGTTATCTGCCCCCACAGTGTACCTCCAGGAAGGAGAGTGGAGGCTTGGGAGACGGGAGGGAAAAATAAAAGGTCACGATAGCTCCAAGGAGTCAGAAGGAGCCCATCAGGCCATGGGAAGTCCCATCTTTGTTGGCCAGCCTTGGGGGTCAGCCTCTTAGTTTGGAGGAATAACTCAAGTCCTCAGCCCTGGAACTTAATACTGGTTGGATCTGTCTGTCTGTCTGTCTGTCTATCCTTCAGTCATTTCTTTTTTTCTTTTTTTTTCTTTTTGGTTTTTCGAGACAGGGTTTCTCTGTGGCTTTGGAGGCTGTCGTGGAACTAGCTCTTGTAGACCAGGCTGGCCTCGAACTCACAGAGATCCGCCTGCCTCTGCCTCCCAAGTGCTGGGATTAAAGGCGTGCGCCACCAACGCCCAGCTCAGTCATTTCTTGAATACCTACTGTGCATTAGGCTGGACTCTGGGGATGGAAGAGATACAAGACTACTGAAGGGAACAAGAGGAACTCTAAGGAGAGGCAGCAGTTCCCTAGGGCTGAGATGAGCTCACCGGTTTTCCTCGCCTTCTAGCAATTTCCTATAGGTGGCAATCTCGATGTCCAGGGCTAGCTTGACATTGAGTAGATCTTGATACTCCTGCAGGTGGCGAGCCATCTCCTCCTTGAGGCTTTGGCCCTCCTCCTCCAGCCGGGCAAGCGCCTCCTGATAATTCGCCGACTCCCGCGCGTGGCGCTCGTCTTGTTCACGCATTTGCCTCTCTAGGGACTCATTCTGGCGGATGGAACCGACTGATCGCTTGGCTCGGTGATTCCAAGGGGCTGTGAGGCCCCACCCTCAGCCCTTTACCCCGCCTCCAACTTTTCAGATCCCTTCCTCCCTTTGCCCATCCCTTATCCAACCTCAACCCCTGCCCCTTCCAGCAACATCTTGGGTGACGACTGCCCCCCATTCGACCAGTGGTCCTTGCCCGCGCTCACCGTGCCGCGCAAAGACTCCAGGTCGCAAGTCAGGGCCTGCAGTTGGCGGCGATAGTCATTAGCCTCGTGCTTAGCCTGGCGGAGCAGCTCTGCATTGCGGGAAGCAGCGTCTGTGAGGTCCGCAAACTATATGGAAAAAGGACCTGAAGTTAATGTGAGGCCTGGAGGCTCGCACTGGCACACTACACAGACCAGGTTGCTGCCTGCATTAGGGGATAGACACGGTCTCTGAAAATCAGAAAAGTGGAGTTGACCTCGGGTCCCCCCCAGGAGCAGCGACTGTAACTGAAGGATTTATCAGGCTTGCTCAGGCTGTCACTGGGTTCGGTAGCTCACGCTAGACTCGGTGCCCTGGGCCAGCAGCATCTCCAGTCTGTGCTTTTTCCGTCTCAAGCCTCCTCACAATGCCTGTTCTCCACTAAGTTGTCCTTCCCTCTTCTCTTGAGTCTCTAAGCTGCCTGTATAAGCTCCTGCGTCTCACAGTCTGTATAAACTCTGATACTGCCTTGACCAAATAAATGCTTCTCTGAATCCTGGGAGTACCTGGCACACGGTAGATGTTCAGGAACACAGGACACAGACTGGCAGAGACGTCAAAAAGGCAGGCTCTCAAGTGAGATGGGTTAGGATTGGAAACTTTTTCACTTAAGAGCTAGTTAACCTTTAACCTTGCTGGTTAAAAATAGTAGTAGCAATAGCAATGAGTAGTTTGGGAAGTCATAGTGCCTGTGTGGTCCTGGGCAAGTCATCTCACTTCTCTGAGCAAGGCTGGTCACCTAGATAGGTTATTTTCCAAGCTTCCTTCCCTGTTCTCCAGTGTGGATCAGGAAGGGCTGCCTGGAAGAGGCAGGCTAGCCACAGGTACCTTGGACCGATACCACTCCTCTGTCTCTTGCATGTTACTAGTGGCCACTGCTTCATATTGAGTTCGGATCTCTCTCAGGGCTGCTGTGAGGTCTGGCTTGGCCACATCCATCTCCACGTGGACCTGCTGTTGAGCCAGCTGCTCCCGGAGTTCTCGAACTTCCTAATAGGGTAAAAGAAGGAGTATCTCAGGCCCAGGCTATAGCCTGGGCTCTCCCAAAATCACACTTCTGTCTGCCCAGATGTGACATTGGTTCAGGGAAATGGGGCAGCCTTTACTAGAGGAAACGCATAGCCTAAGCTAATAGGCATGTGGCATTTAACCTTTAGCCCTAGCATGTGGGAGGCTGGAGCAGGCAGACTTCTATGATTTTGAAGCCAGTGTGGTCTACATAGAATGTTCCAGGCAAGTCAAGGCTACACAGTGAAACCCTCTTAAAAAGTAAAAATAAAAACCCTAATAGGTATGGAATGAGAATCTGAGGGTGTCTTCCTTCCAAAACTGCATAGTCAGGAAGCAGGCATGAATATGTCATGCATCCAGGCTCTGAGGTCAGAGAACAGAGGTGTGTGTGTGTGTGTGTGTGTGTGTGTGTGTGTGTGAGAGAGAGAGAGAGAGAGAGAGAGAGAGTGATCTCAAATTTCCTGTGTAGCTGAAATTGGCCTTAAACACTTTGAGCTTCCTTCCCGCCTCTGCCTCCCAAGTGCTGAGATGTGTGTGTGCCCCATGGCGTGTCCTGGGGTTGTCATGAATGCCTCACATCTTAATGGTCACAGGTGGAGGAGAGGGTGAAACCAGACAGGCTGTGTTACTTCTGGGTTTTTTTCCCTTATTCTCTGGGATTCAGCATCCTCCCAGTCGTGAAAGGAGACCATGAGAAGGACTCAGAACTGATGTGGAGGAGAAACCAAAAACCCAGCCTTGGGCTTCTCAAAACATGGTGGTGGGGGAGGGTCTGTGTGCATTTTCCAGGGGCAGTACACACTGGAAAACATCTCCCTAGGTCTCTCTGTCTCCACTCTTTCTCCTTCATTTTCTTTCTTCCTGATAGTTGGTTTCTCGGTTTCCCTCCCCGAGTCTCTCTCTGTCTGTCTCTCTCATTTGCAATGTCCTGTTTGGCCTCCCTCCTCCCACTTGGCCTCACCTCCTCATGGATCTTCCTCAAGAACTGTATCTCCTCCTCCAGCGACTCAATCTTCCTCTCCAGGTCCAGACGGGCGATGGTAGCTTCATCTGCCTCCTGCAGTGAGGAGAGGGCCTTTTTGACCCCAGTGACCCCCCACTACAACCTCCAGTTTTGTCTTTCCCCTCCGGGTGGGGATCTGAGAAGCAGGAAACTGCAGCGAAGGGTTAAGTTCAGGGCCTGTGTCTGGGTGAGCAGCCATAACCCCCCCCCACCCCTCCAATCTCTCTGACCTGTCTATAGGCAGCCAAGTTGTTCTCGGCCTCCAGTCTCAGGTTGGTTTCATCTTGGAACCTGGGATGGGGACACAGTATGGTCTTTAGACTTTCCTAAGAACTCTTCCTAGATCCCTGTCCCAGCCTCTCTGGAAGTGACTGTCATAAAACACTCTCACATGACCCATGGAGTGGCTGGAGAAGTAAGCAGCAGAGGGTTCCTGAGCAGAGGCCCTGGCTGAGAGAGTAAGCAGCAGATAAGGGCTTCTGCCTTAACTCATTACTGAGGAGCCTTATCGGGGTTGGTGCACCTGCTCATGCTCGCACAGGCTCATCCGCCACCACGTGCACGCTGTACAGACACCAGTACACCTCCTGCATCACAGGGACACACGCATGTCCCTCACTCAGCAAAGCACCATGCCCCAGTGTCCCACCCCTGGTCACTATCTTTTAGGACAGATTATATCATGATCTCTCCTTCACAGCTGTGACAAAAACTGGTGACAGACGGTCATCGGGGTTCTGCACCCAGTCCTGCCTGCCTGCCCTTCCTTTCATTCTCTATGTTTCAGAGGCCAGAGACTCCTTGTGGACACAGACTTTCACTCTGACCATTCGCAGTGCCAAATGAATGGAAAAGCAGAGCACCTGCTGGCTGGTGCCCACACTACCCACACAGCCTTCCCCAGCGTGGTGGTGTCGGGAGTGCCCAGCTCCCTGGCAGCAGACCTTCGGGAATCAGATCCCTGAAGTTCTGGTCTCTCCCTGGCTATTCCCATCATATTAGGGAACAAAGATAGTCCTCCCTTTCCCAGGCATGGGGAAATGCAGCAGCTGGAATGCCGAGCCCTTGCCAGAGTCAGTACCCTTCCTTATAGGCATCCCTCTCGGTTCAGTCTTACTGCTCTCTAGCCATTTTCCCGGACCCCCTCCCTCCTCACTTCTGCCTCAGGGTGCCGAGGTCCTGTGCCAGATTGTCCCTCTCCACCTCCAACCGGGCACTGTTGGAAGTAAGCTGGTCCAGCCGTAGCCGCAGCTCCCGCAGCTCTGCCTGGTAGACGTCTGCCAGTTTGGTGGGCTCCTTGGAGCGAAGCTGGTTCAGCTCAGCGGCCAGCGCTTTGTTTTGCTGTTCCAGGAAGCGGACCTTCTCGATGTAGCTAGCAAAGCGGTCGTTGAGTTCCATCATCTCAGCGCGCTCACTGGCCCGAGTCTCCTTGAAGCCAGCATTGAGAGCCCCGGCCAGGGAGAAGTCCACCCTGGTAGGGAGCGGAGGAGGCATTCGAGCCAGAGAGAAGCGTGGGATGGTGCCCAGGTGGCGGCCCCTGACCACCGTCTCGGAGGAGGCATAGGAGCGACGTGCAGAGGTGATGCGTCTTCGCTCCATCCTGCCCTGGCCCTGCTGGCTCCTGGGATGTCAGAGCTTTATGGAGGAATGGGCTGAATTGGTTCTGCCCTGACTTCCTGGCATCACCCCACTGAATAGCCTGAGGGGGTGGAGCTGGGCCCTAGCCCAGCTACGGGGAGAGCTCCTCTCACCCCACTGAAGTCTTTGTTCCAGAGTCAAGGTTTCTCTGGGCACACCAGATTGGCTTCACCAGTGATGAAGAAAACCCCGTTTCTGGTAAGATGGGCCAAGAGAGGGCTAGAGTGGCTGAGGAAACAGCCCATAAATTGATTGCCTGTCAAGCATGAAGCCCCAAGTTCTAGTCACAGAATGAAAACAAAAGGCCAGGTTTCACAATATGTACTTGTAACTCCAGTGCTGGGGAATGAAAATCAGGAGGATCCTTGGATCTCACTGATTGATTGGTGAGTTCCAGGTCCCAGGGAGAAACGATGTCTCAAAAAAAACCAAGGCAACAGTGTCTGAGGAACAATACCTGATGCTAACATCTGGCCTCAGCACACATGTGCCCACACGTGAACATCTATGCAGTGAACAAACATGCGTGTGAGCAAACACACACACTCACACTCACTCACACACTCACTCACACACACACACACACACACACAGTACGAGCTGGCTTGGGTGAGCTGCCTCCTGCCCTTAGAGCCTAGAAGTCATGGCTACCCTCACTCTGCACTTCTCCATGGGCCTGTGAGATGCTAGGAACTTGAAGAATCTATGCCCTGCTTCCAGGATCAGCCTATATTGTAGTTTCCTGCTGACTCCCATTCCCAACAGATGTCCAGAGGCCTCTCCCTGGAATCCTGCTATCTTGTCTTCCCATTCCTGGAGTTCAGGAGTGAAGGGCTGGGGTTGGGGCCCTCCCTATGACTCCAGGGTCAACCTGGGCCTCCAGCTGTGTGTCTAGGAGGCATGACAGAAGGAATGCATGAGGATCCTAATAGGGTACGATAGCAGACCTCCTTCCTGAGTCCCCCTTTGGCATCTTGTCTAGCCTGCTGGGCCATTTCTTCCTGGCCCAGCTTCCCTTTGCTCCTCCCAGAGCCTGGCACCTGACAGCTTCACAGAGTAGCTATGAACAAGTTGGTTGTGCATGCTGGAATCTTTGTTTTTGCAACACCCTGTCCCCCTGGTCACCCCTCATTCTCCCAGAAGATTTATCTTCTCCAAGTTCCCACACATCAGGCCTCTTGGGGATATGCAGGTCTGGGAAACCAGAATTCACCATCATCAATGGTGGGGAGGAGGTTGTTGCCATGGGACTTCAGGCCTATCCATCCCCTCCACTCTGGTCCCTCCCAGGCGCCTTAGCCATCTGTGCCCTTGGTCTTCTGGAAAACAGACAGCTCAATTCCCCCACCCCTGCCTCCCTCTGTCCATGCTTGAGCTTCTGATCCCTGCTCCAGGGCATCTGCTGAATAGAGCCTTGTTCTCTGCCCCCAGTGAGGGAGCCATACGGCAAGGGGCAGCCCCAAGTGGGCTGGGCTGCTTTTATCCCAAGATGCCAGGATGTCAGCCCCTGGTGCCGTACAAGCTCCCAGCTCAATGGGCTTCTCGGAAAGCGTCGAAGGGGGCCTGGAGTACAGCGGGAAGCAGGCTGTGTGCCCACCCTGACCATTGTGTCTCTGCCAAGGTGAGTCATTCAGTGGGCACATGGAGGAGGTCCTGGGGGCAGCCAGCTTTGCACTGCCAGGTCTCCAGCTTACAGACAACGCCTGGCTGCTTGCCCCCTCCCCATGCTCAAGCCAGTTCAGACCCCTGAGCTCCTGTCACAGCAGCATCCCTTACTCCATGCCAGGGACATGGCATTCATTTGAGCATGCAATGGGCTGAGGTTCCCCTAGGGAGTCGAGCATGGGGAAGGAAGGAGCCCCTTAAGGTCTAGCCATCCATACCTTCCCCCATCGAGGACAATGGCATAGTAAGGTTGATCCTCAGAGGAGTTCCCAGCAACCTCTAGGCAGGATCTCATCATTTCCCCTGGGACTTAACTATATAGGTCAAGCTGGTCTGGAACTCACAGCAATCCAATTGGCCCTTTGTGATTAAAGGCTTGCATGACCACTTCCTGCCCCCAGTGACTTTTGATACTCTGATAAGCTGGGACACGGAAGGTCAGGGGACTTTAAGGGAGGAGCCTTACTAGAGACCAGCCTTCAACCCAGGGCACATCGCAGAGGGCAGGAGTGGCCTGCCTTTCTAGGTCCTAACAAAGTGGTTCAGGAGGGAAAAGATACAACAAGAGCCGGAGAGATTTGCAGCAAAACTGGAGACTTTTTCCTGTTCATGTGAGTTTGCTTCAGTACCAGCCAAGGAGTCCCCCAGCTTCTGCCCCTCAGCCCCTCCCTGTACCCCTGATGCAGGACTGAGTTCTATTCTAACCCCACTGGGCTTTAGGATCCTTGCTATACTCTCTCAAAGGGTCTTTGTGTGTAGAGACAAAAGAAAGACATTCTCCGTTGCACTTGATGTACAAACTTTCGTTATTGGTGTTTTATTACACATTCACTGTAGAGAAATCAGAAAATACACATAAGCAATGTAAATATTTAATTAGCCATAGTTTTGCCACATGCAGATAAACACTGCCAGGTTTTTCCTACACATATAAATCCATTTTTTCAAAACAGGCCCATACTGCACCAATTATTTTGTAATTTGCTTTTCCTTCAACAATATGTTGTGAACATCTTTCTGAATCAGTGACCATTTGCCTACATCATCATTTTAACAGCCACATCGTTTCCCACTTTGTGTATCCATTTAACTAAGCCCTGTTGTTGGATAGCTCTCCAGCCGGGTTCCGAGCCCACCATGCATATCTGCCCCAGAGAAGCACTTGGTAGGAAAATAGGTAGGCCCTCTGCCCTCCCAGCTGCCACAGGGATTCCCATCCTCCTCGCCTGGCTCATGCCCCACCCTGGGGGTTACTCCTTTTCAACTCTCCCAAGCAGAAGTCTCCAACAACAAAAGCCTCAGGCCAAACTCCAGTGGACTTTTAGACTCCACCACAGGGTGCTGCCAGCCACGGAGACAGATGTTTGGAACCTCACTACAGAGTCCAAGCCAAACTGAGCCCTGCTTCAAGTCAAAGTGGGGATAAGATGGTTTCCTCGTGTCCCTCTCCCTGGAATAAAATCTGGCAGATGATCTTTTGCTTACATGGCAAAGCCTCAGTGCCTCCCGGGACAATTCCACTTCTCTCAACTCACCTACACAGTGTCTGGTGTTTCCCACTGAATTAGAGCTGGCCTCTAATTCAAGCGGCTGTGCAATCTGCTGGCTCTGCTTGCACACCTGCCCCTGCCCAGTGCAAGTACAGCATGGTAGTGTGATCAAGAGTGGCTAACCCCATCTCCTGGTGCTGTCTGGAGGAAGGGAATTTGAGCCCCGGGGCCACTAGGTGGCAGTGCTCAGCTGCCCAGGTCTGGCCACCAAAACCAGTGGAAGGTAATAGGGTTTCCTAGAGGTAGGTGGTTTTTCTAAAGTCCACATTTGTATCGCCCAGCTGGCCATTCTGCTTTGATTTTTTTCTTCGCTACTCACCTCTGCTGTGACAATGCCCTCTTAAGGAGAAAGCAACACTTGGGCTCCTCAGGAGCTGTGAAGTCTTGGATGATGCAGGAATCATCACTGAATCTCCATGTCCAGATCCGTGAAACGAAGACTCACCTCCCAAGAACATTGTGAGGATAGTCAGTGAGAGTCACTCTGACAAACCACAGTGCTCATTTTGTAATGCCTCCCATGCACTTCACTTACTGCATGGCCAGTGCTTTTGTGATGGAGGGGCAGGAGCTTGAGTGAGGGCTGCCAAGTACTACGGCAGTCTATGGGGAGTACGTGAGACCTTCTAAGAGAGGTCACATGGCAGTGTGGACAGGACGAAGGAAAAACAGTGAGTAAAAAGAGTGAGAGACAATGCCGTTTTCTCCTAGACTTCTAGCTGTTTGTGGCTTCAGGTCCTACAAGGGGACATAACTAGGTTTTTGTTGTCTCTTTTGTTTTTGCTGTTAACTGTTTTGTGAGACAGTCTTATTATATCTTTGGTTGGCCTCAAACTTGGTATGTATGTAGCCAAGGATGACCTTGAACTTCTGATCCTCCTGCGTGCTGGGATTACATGTGTGCACCACCACGCTTGGTTTATTTGATGTTCAAACCCGGGACATCATGCATGTTAATTAGGCAAGGCTTTGCTTATACCCACAGTCGTCCAGCCCAACACGTAAATTGCTTGGAACTGGAACTGTCGTGACTGAAGCAGATGTTGCCCTCTAACCCACACTCTTGCCTCCCGTGTCCCCTCGTGGGCTCTGTTCTCACGCGCCTTCCTCCATCCCTAGACTTGAGGCTGTGCTTTTTGTGCCTGGCTCCCCTGCGCACCTCTGCCTGAGTCCTCCTGGGGAGATGAGTTGTGTTTCCCCCGACAGGTTGAGATTTCCTGATGCTAGAATCTGTCTTCCCGCTCAGAACAGGGTCTACACCTCCCAGGTGACGGCACCACAGGATGGGGCTAGCTTCTTACCAACTGAAATGTCTGCGGGTGGGGGCTTCAGCTGGAGAGGACCTGCCTCGGACCAGGGGCCGTTCATTCTCCCACCTGTAGCCTCCACCCAGCCATGTTCTGCTAATCAGAAATCAGCTCCCATGGCTGCAGAATGACCCCAGACTGGACCCCAGAGTCCCTTCCTCCTCCTTGGGTCTGCCTCTTCCTATTGTTGGACTCAGCAGCTCATTCATTTTCACGGGCTCCGGGGCCAGGCTGCTGTGGCAGGGTTAATAAGCTCAGGCCCTTTCTCCCTGGCCTCTCACGGCCCCAGCCAGACCCACGTCAGCTTGTCCTTTACCTCCCAGTCTCCAACCCCGAGACCTGCCTTTTAGTTGCTCTCCCAGCCTGCTCTGCACCTTCTCCTACATCCTTCCTCTCCATCCCACCTGACTGGACCCCTCAGGGGTGAGAGGCGGGACCAGATGTGGCGCTGGTGGGAGAAGAGGGCTGACAGCCACCCACTATTAGCAGACTAGCAGCTCTTCAAGTGGACAGGATGGGCCAGTGGACAGCGCTGTGTTGAGCAGAGAGCCATAAGGCTTAGTTGAAAACAGTCCTCAGACTCCTGGGTGTGAATCTGTTCCCGCCCTCCCTCAACAACATTCATCCCCAACTGTCCTGAATGCCTCTTTACTATGGGAAGCCAGGCATGGTGGCACTCCAGGGTGGCCTGGTCTACACAGTGAGTTTCAGGATAGACCTTGTCTCAAACAAACAAACAAACAAACAAAAAAGAACTGGGAAAGAGAAAGCAGTCGTGATTTAGATACTACCTGAAACTAGGATCCCTCAAGCACAGCCAAGCCATGGGGCCATTCCGGGGAGAATCTGGAGACAGTTGACTGGGGCTCTGGATAGAACTCATGAATTAGCTGCTAAGGAGATTCCCCAGGTCAGGGTACCCGGAGGAGGCAAGCTGAAGGTTGCACATAGGGAGAACACAGAAAGACTAGACCCCTCCCCTTGACAGTTTTCAGCACCGATGGTAGGCTTTGCTGTTCATTCCGTTCTAGGAATAGGTGCCAACCCTTTTCTCATCACAAAGATTTTCAGCTCTTTGCCACAAGCCTGGTTTTGTGAACTGGGTAGAAATGTGTACTCCAAACGGCTTTAGTGTGACTAAGAAGTGTGGGGTGACAGGCTTTCTCAACTCACAGAAGCAGGGCTGGGATGATGCAGGGAGGGGGAGTGTTGGGCCAGGCTGGGTCTGTGGTGGATGGAGAGGCATTGATTACCAGGTCTCATGGATGACTATGAAAGAACAATCCAATTTCAGAGTCTCATCGTCCATGCAATTCAGATGAAAGCTTGCCATCCTGCAGTCCCTGCCAGCCCGACTGCCTATGGCACGCAGGACACCACACAGGCAAGCTCTCAGCCCGACCTCCTGTGATTGAGGGCAGAAGCCACACGTGCTTAGCTCCATCAGCCCAGAGTCTTTGTACATTTTATGGGTCAGCTGAGAGCACACTTTGTACCACAGAGCTGCGAATGTTTGCGGAGTGAATGGCTGGCTGCCGAACATCCTTGTCAAGAGTGACCTCTCCCACTGTCAGGCTGCCCCCAGCCTGGCGAAGTCTGCCTCACGCAAGGCCCCACTGTGCAGAGCATGCCCTCCTGGCCCTCGTTACTGGCTGCCTTGTCCTGTCCCGACTGCCTTTGTACTTGGAGGGCGGTAGTGATCGTCAGAAGAGGTAAGTGGGGAAGTTATTCCATCTGAATCCAGCCATCACTCAGTGAGGCCTCAAGTGAAAGCGCCGTGCCAGCCACCAGGGGCTACAGATGTGCATCTGTGACTGCTTCAAGGGAGCCATGGTACACAGGGGAACAAAGTCATTAAGACTAATTGGAGAGGCGGGAACCCCATGCCTGGGAAGAGAAATGATATCTGTTCACTTCAAAAAGGAAGCAACCCTGTGTTATGTAAAAGCCAGGATGTGGGCTTGATCTAAGACACTTGCTGTCCAACTGTGGGTAAGCTGGGTGGTGTCTGATTGTTTCTTATCCGTCTCACAGGGCCAGTGGAGCAGACACAGCCTGGCAGCGACAGCAGAGGGAAGATCACCCACCTGCTTTTCCTGCCTCTCCCAATAAATGACAGAACCGAGCAGGGGGAGCCCAGGCATTCTTAGAATGTGGCAGCATTATTTACACACTATTCACAATGTGTTAAATACCCTTAAAATGTTTGTCTTCAGGAGCAAGTTCAACACAGGCTCCTGTAATTTTGTTTACACTATTAATTCACTCAGTCAAGCATGTCTTCGCGGGGAGGACAGAGATAACCATGTTGAATTGCTATACAACCCAGCGAGGGGAAAGGCAGGCCCCCAGGAGCTGGTAAAGTGGGGAGAAGAGCAAGCTGCACTGGACTCTAGCTGGGGTTCACGTGGAGCCTCACTTCATAACTGGGTCCTAACAAAAAGGCCCTTTGTGACAGCAGAACAATTCACTCTTAAGGTGTAATAGACATCTAAGGAAGATCATTTTAAACCCCCTGGGAGCAAAGATCCTGCAAGGAAGAAAATGGCATGTGTGCATATTTGAATAAGAGGATCATGCAGCCGGGCGGTGGTGGCACACGCCTTTAATCCCAGCACTTGGGAGGCAGAGGCAGGCGGATCTCTGTGAGTTCGAGGCCGGGCTGGACTGACAGCCTCCAAAACAATACAGAGAAACCCTGTCTCGTAAAAACCAAAAAAAAATGTCACAGCGTGTGTGTGTGTGTCAGGAAGCATTTCCCAGGCCCACAGAGGATCTTCACTGGAGCCAGGAGCCAGGTCTAGGACCCAGAACACAAGGCTTACAGGCTGCCAGGCAGGTACTTTTTCCTGAACTCCTAAGTTTCTTGAACCCAGGGCAAGCATGCTACCACTGAGCTACAGCCCTAGATGTTTCCTGTTGATTTTTTTCATGTTATGCAACAAAAGTTGGCCTCTAACTCATAATCCTCCTGCTTCAGCTTCCTAAGAGCTGGGATTACAGGAATGTGTTTCCACACTTGGCTTAGGTCTTGAAGAAAGGAAAGGTGGCACTAACCTATGAGGGTGTAGAAGGAAACACTCCAGGCATAGAGATGACTTAGTAATCATTACAGTAGAAAAATCTATAGATCTACAGGCATATACCTGTGTGCATACATAGAAATACATATGCATATATGGAGAAACAAGGATGAGAAGGACACTTAATACCAATATAACTAGTTAGCATACATATCTAAGTGGTAGCATTAAGGCTATATTCCCCTCTCTTCTTATATACTGCTGTATACCCTGTGTTTAGTGAGTGAAAATAATAAAGCTTTATAAACCAAAGCACCTGTCATGAACTACATCATCAAGGGGTGAGAAATTCCTGCCCCGGGGCTGTGGACACAGGGCCGAAGATGCCCATCTCAAACACCAAAAGAGCTGAGCTGGACGTCAGCAAACTCCCCTTTGTCCTCATCCGCCCTCCACTGTAGAGGCCATCACTATGCAGAGCTTGTTGGCAGACATGAGGTTGAGGGGTATAGAGAAGCACACAGGAGTTCCTTTGGGAATGGGAAAATCCGACAGAATCCTTTAATATAGCCACATGTTTAATACTCACAAATGAATATGTACATGCCAGGAAGAAGAGTGTAACAGAGTATAATACAGAAGGCAAAGGGCAGATGCATAGTTGGGAAAGGGTGCTAATACAGAAAAGGCAAGTTGGTGTTAATTGTTCCGAGGACAGGAGGGCAGGCCAGGGGCACAAGGTATTGGCAGTTCCAGACTGGAGAAGGCTGTTAGCCTAGAGGTGTTGACAAGTCAGGACAAACTTGGAGGTCTCGTGGTCAGGATACCCAGCTAGCAGCACTCTGTCACCCCAATCAGTCCCTTATGAGTGCTCTGGTCACCAAGGCAGTGGAGACTCAAGGGTGGTTCTGCAGGCCCTTTAGACAGAGGGGTGCAGAAGGACAAGGTGAGGCTCGGTCCCATCCTCCCCCTCCCTCATCGGGTCCTTGCAAGTCTTTCAGGCTCTCCTCCACCTGGATCTCCATCCACCCTGTCCTACATCCCATCTTCATCTGCCACCACTGCTCAGCTACACTTGTCCCTAGGTCCAGTTACCAGGGACTGGTCTGTCCGGCCTCTTCAAAGTGCTACTGGGAAGGCGGGCAATGCAGCTGCGGCCTCGGGAAACTGAAGACCTGAAGAAGGGAAGGCAGGGAGACAGGAAGGTGGCAAGGTCACACATATTCTGGACTGTGGTGTATGTGGAGAGGTAGCAGCTGGACGCCAAACCCCAAGGGCAGAAGTTGAACAGCAGTTTTCAAATCCACAGGAGAGAGTGGGACACACCATTAATGAGGGGAGGAGAGGCTTCTGGTGTGAGGGACAGGCAAGGAAGCAGAGGTGAAAGAAATAGTCCAATTGGTGGATTAGCCAACAAACGATGCCAATCTCCCTCATGGCTAGGTGTCTAAGGCCCATATCATCTCCGGGAAAACCTCCTGATAAATAGTAAGCAAAGGCCAGAGAGATTCCAGTCAGAGAACTAAATGCTGGCCCTGCTCACAGGACCACGGCTGCTTTCTCCAAGGAGTCCAGAAAAAACCAGCTGCGGGTCTGTGCTTAGTTGCCGCCCACTGATCTAGTTAGGGCTTTCCTCTCCCCCGACCCCAGCCTCACCTCATAGTATGCCTCTTCTTGCCAGCAGTGGTTGTAGGCAGAGAAGATTTGGGGCCCTTCGTGGTGAACAGGAGCACAGGTGCGCTGTGAGGGTGGCAGGGGCAGATCAGGAGGGAGTCAAAAAGACCACTGAGCAGTCTTCTCTCACCAGCCCTGAGCTTGCAGGGAGGAAACTTGGACCAAATGACCTGAGGCTTCTTTCTGCTAAGAGATGGTCTCTTTCCCTGCCTCTCTCAGCTCGGGCTGACAGCTGACTGACAGCCCTGTTCTGGGAGAACATCCAGATGTCAGTTTCTGCCACATCCTGGGAGCTGGAGTTCAAAGAATTTCACCCTTCCACCTGCCCAGCTCTGAGCTTGTTACCGAGAGATGGCTATGGGGGCATGGAAGGCGTAGGGCTGTGGGTGGGCAGTCTGCTGGCCTCGACCTCAGTTCTGAGCTGGCTGCCATTCCCTTCCCCTATCGTGTGGTTTGAGGGCAAAGGTAACAGCTTCATCTTTTCACTAGAAAATACTGAAGAAAAGTTTTCTTTTCCTAGTGAGTCACTTCTCCCTTTGGTCTTTTTTTTTTTTTTTGGTTTTTCGAGACAGGGTTTCTCTGTATTGTTTTGGAGGCTTTCCTGGAACTAGCTCTTGTAGACCAGGCTGGCCTCGAACTCACAGAGATCCACCTGCCTCTGCCTCCTGAGTGCTGGGATTAAAGGCGTGCACCACCAACGCCCGGCTCCCTTTGGTCTTTTGAGACAGGATCTCTCTGCAGAGCCCTTGCTGTCCTGGAACTCACTTTGTAGACCAGGTTGACCTTGAACTCATAGAGTTCACCTGTCTCTGCCTCTTGAGAGCTGGGATGAAAAGTATACACCACCACGCTCAGCCTTCCTTCCCTATTCCAGATGCTGGAACAGAGAGAAAAACCTGGAGTACAAGTAGATGAGATAGGTATTTATCTGTGAGGTACAAACTCAGAACCATCATGGAAACAAAACAAAGCCTAGGAACAGATGGAGCTGGGCTTAATTCCTGGTTCCCCAATGACCCTTTCTACACTGGCGTCCCATTAGCTACTCATGAGAACAATATGAACCGGCATAGTTGGAGGGACAAGGCATGGGGCCAGGGACTCTGAGATAAGCCATGTTGCCGTATGACAGCATGCTTTGCTTTCCTGGGCCTGGGCGCAAAGCCGACAAGTCACCAAGGGGAGACAGGTGGCAATGTCTCCACTCTAAGAGTCAGCTGCCTTCCACCTTCTGAAAGATATGGGAGATGCCTGGGCACTCACCTAGGCATGGAGGGCTGGTCTTCCTTGCTCATCAGCTCCTGGGGGACTGCCTCACAGCCAGCAAGTTCATGGAAGCTGGGTTTGAAGGGAGAGTCCTCAGAGATGTTGAAGGTGGTGTTGAGGTCGCGAGTGGGGAGGGCAAGAGGAGTGGAGCAGTTCTGTAAGGCAGAAGAGCCCAGGGGTACCCGGCCTTTAATGACTGTGGCCGGGCAGACTCGGGAGGAGTGGGAGGAGGCCCTTTCTCCCTCGGGAGTTCTGGGCTCAGCGGAAGGCTGGGCCTTAGGCAGAGAGGTCCTCCTCAGGCAGGGAAGGAAGGACTGGCGCTGACGCTTAGTCTCCAGATTTGGGGCTGCTGGGCTGCTGGGCTCAGCTGGGTTCAGTTTCCTTTTCTTCTTCTTCTCCTTGGTGGGCTTTTGGAATGCCTTATCTGAGGTGCAGTCAGGTCCAAGTGGGATTCCCAGAGTGTGTGTGAGGCCATTCAGTTGCTTTGCCATGGTCCGGGTCACAGGACCACAGTACCCTGAGGACTCTGGATAGAGAAGGAGCACACTGAGAAGGGACCAGGCACTGGCCAGAGAGGAGAGTACAGAATAAGGAGTAGACACAGGGAGGAGAGCACAGAATAAGGAGTAGACACAGGGAGGAGACTACAGAATAAGGAGTAGACACAGAGAGGAGAGTACAGAATAAGGAGTAGACAGAGAGGAGAGTACAGAATAAGGAGCAGACAGAGAGAGGAGAGTACAGAATAAGGAGTAGACACAGGGAGGAGAGCACAGAATAAGGAGTAGACACAGGGAGGAGACTACAGAATAAGGAGTAGACACAGAGAGGAGAGTACAGAATAAGGAGTAGACAGAGAGGAGAGTACAGAATAAGGAGCAGACAGAGAGAGGAGAGTACAGAATAAGGAGTAGACAGAGAGGAGAGTACAGAATAAGGAGCAGACAGAGAGAGGAGAGTACAGAATAAGGAGTAGACACAGGGAGGAGACTACAGAATAAGGAGCAGACAGAGAGAGGAGAGTACAGAATAAGGAGTAGACAGAGAGGAGAGTACAGAATAAGGAGTAGACAGAGAGGAGAGTACAGAATAAGGAGTAGACAGAGAGGAGAGTACAGAATAAGGAGTAGACACAGGGAGGAGCCCGAAGTCCTCAGTTCTCCCACCAACCATACTCCAGCATCTGAGGCCCTAGTCCACACGTTGGCCATAGGTGGGCCTTAGAGATTGCAACAGTAGGGGAGACAGAGTAAAAGTTACACTCACTAGACTCCAAATATGGCTCCTGAGCTAGCGGGTCCCCCCTCGCCCGACCAGCAGTCCCGGGGCTCTGAGTCTCAAGTTCAGGGTTTTCCTCATGCACCAGCTGCTGCAGGGTCTCAAGTTCTGAGGTCATGTCAGGGGTCAAGAGGTTGGCTGCCTGCAGCAGGGAGTATTGTCGCTGGGCCAGGCACAGCACCCGGAGGGCCAACCTGGAACAGAGGACAGAGAATTTGCGTGTAGCTTCTTTAGACCCAGGCTGACCATTGTACACTGCCCCATCACTCTTGCCTTGCTCCAGACTAGCCTACTTGCTTTACCCCCCTCCTGGCATGGACCCTGCTTTGGCATACCCTTACCAAAGGCCAACACCACAACAGGTAATGGAGGGCGGTGTCACCCACTATACAATCTCTATTCAAAGGCAGTGACCTGGGAAATAAGGAAAGGGTGCTAAGTGACCTTGCACTTGGAGGTTTGAGTTCCTCCTCAGCCCTACCACTTAATGGTGCTATGGTCTTTTTGGTCTCATGTAGCCCAGAGTGGCCTTGAACACACTATGTAGCTGGGGACATCCTCGAACTCTTGATCTTCCCTCCAGTCCCCACCTACCAAGTGCTAGGATTACAGATGTGTGCCACCACTCCTTGCTTAGTGTTGTCATCTTTACCCTCGGGGTAAGACAATATAGTTAAGAACCCATATCCAATCAGTCTTGTTCAAGTCACAGCTCAACACGTCCCAGCTGCAGGATCTTCATTTCACTTGTTAACCTCAGTCTCAACAACTTTAAAATGGGGTGGTAACAAGGACCACTACATCACAGGGCTGCTGGGAACATTAACTGAGGTATTTATTGGTTCTTCAAGGCAAGGTTTCTCTGGAACCTGCTCTATAGAATAGGCTGGCCTAGAACTCAGAGATTCACCTACTCTGCCTCCAAAGGACTGGGATTAGAGGGGTGCACCACCACATCTGGCTTTGTTCCATTGGTGCGAGACAGGATCTCTCTGCATAACTCTAATTGGTTAGGAACTCAAGAGTTCTGGCTGTCTGGCCTCCTTAGTTCTAGGACTAAAGGCGTGAGCCACC